TTTTAAATGGTTGGGGAAAATAAATAAAATTTCGTGACCCATGAAAATTAGATGGACTTTAAATGCCCGTGTCTCTAAAAGGTTTTATTAGAACACAGCCATTAGCTCGTTTAGGTGTTGCCCACGGCTGCTTTTGTATTACAGGGCCAGGCCCTCAGACGTGAATTTCCTCTGGCCCTTTACAGAAAAAGTTTGCCATCCCTGCAAAATAGAGTGTCTGGGTTGGCAGGGACAGCTTGAGAGGCCTGGATGTGGCAGAGGAGGGGAAAAGAGTGTAGAAAAGAATTCTGAGATCTGCAAAGATGAATTTCAAAGTTTTGCCCTCGGGTATTTCTGGTAGGAGATAGAAATGTTTTTATTTTCTGTTTTTGTTCAATCCAGCCCAGTCAAATCAGTAGGTAAGCAGGGTTTATGGCTTTAAATAACAACCAGTAATTGTTACTTTAATCTCTGAACTTGTGTATATTTTAATAGTTTTTCTTAGTGACAGTGGTTAAACTACTTTAAACCACATATGCCAGTTTTTAATTAAACCTGAGGTATTAGAGTAAATCTTTTAACAAGTATAAAAGTCTTAGCTGCAGCATTACAGTGACTTGCATTTAGTTTCCTTTTCAGGAGGCGGGTCCACCTGATAGATTGACGGTAAGATGTGTGTACATACAGTATATGAGACCTATCGAACCGGTTACATGTAATCACGGGTAGTTTTCTTTAATTTTTCTCAAACAGGACTTGCCAAGATGAAGCCTACAGATCTGTTCAAACTTGAAGGAAATGAAATTCTACCTTTTGTATAATTCAGAGGCTTTTTTTTGCTTTTTTTTTTTTTCCCTGTAATGTAACATTTCATTTATACATTGTCTTCAGGGTATGCATTCCTATCTAATAGGAATGTCTAACGGCTGAATTTTAATTGTCCTCTTAAGTACTTTCTGCCTTCTGTGAATTGAAGTAACTAAGCTTTTTAAAGTCTTTGCGAATATTTTGTGTTAGTTTGGTTAAAGAAGAAATGACAGCAATTTTTATTATTAATAACATTTGTAATATAGGAACGATTGACTGATCTTTACTAGCTATTTTGCTGTCATTAATCATTACACATATTTAGCTGTGTTGTCTTGACAGTGAGCAGACTTTGCAGACAGAGTGCATTAGGGCCACTTTGGATCGGTAATGCCAAGTAGCTTTCTTTCAAGACTATACAGAAAGTAAAGAAACATAGAAGAGCGTTAAATGCTTTCATAGTATTTCATTTACTCTTAGTTGGTAAAAGCTTTTTTGTCCTCTTCTGTTGAAAGTTGTTAATGTATTATATTGTATCAAAATGTGGTGAAGAAAATCTATAGCTGTTTATTATATGGCTCTAGAGGAAAGGGTTTTTTCCTTCTATCCTTTATAGGGGGATACAGACATCTAGGAAATTGTCTCTGCTCTCAAGAAATTTAAAATATAGTTAATCTGGTTACAGCTGCTCTCCCCTCTGTCCCCTCTTACGCTTACCTGTTGTATCATTTAGTAGAGAAGGAGAAATATCATGTTTGTGAAATATCAATCATAAGCTATTTCCATCTTTAACAATGACAGTTTTTCAGTTTTGAGTCTAGAATATGTGGATTTCTTCACGGGAATGGAAGACTTGAGCTGATGCCTTAATATTTCTTTTTCCAATTGCTGCCGCCAAGTGCACAGATCTCACTCCACTGCCTACGTCAGGCCTGGGGCCTGGCTCAGAGCATATGCTCAGCAGGGGTTTGGGTCACATGACAAGCTGGGAAGCAGTCCCGTGCTGCACTGAGTGTGAGAATAGTCTCATCGCTGTTTTAAACTTGAATTGAACACATACAATTAGTGGCTCTCAGTTCTGGGCCCTCAAAATAAAGAAAAAAATAAGATAGTCTTGATTTTGGGGAGATTTATAGACTAGCTGGGGGGAATAGGCTGGATAAGTGAATATAACCTGATGTGGACAGGTGTTATTCAGTCTCCTGGAGATGGGAACTGGTTTGCTGGGGTAGCAGAGGAGTTTCACGGGGCCGAGAGGGAAGGAGACACTTCCAGGTCGAGAATCGGGTGGGGATGGTGTGGAAAGGGCATTCTGGGGAAAGGCGTACGTTTGCGCAGACTCAGGATTCCAAGTGCTTGGTGCTTTCAGGAAGTCATGGGTGTGCAACGTGGGGAGAGCAAATGACAGTGATCACAATCCCAAATTGTTTTCTGTCTCTACCACAGATGTGAATCATTGTATGTCACGTAGATGCTGCCATGATTACGCTTTAGTAGCTATTAGTAGCTCTTTGGATATCAGGAATCTTTTGATTGCCTTTAGCTCAGTTAAACATTTTTCTTTTGGTTAAAAGTGTAATAAAGGAAAAAGGCATGTTGCATATATGACAAATGAACATGTGACTGGGAATTACAGGATAGCGCATGAACTTCCTAATTGTTCTGTAGTTGGAACATCCGTTACTCAGTTTTTCTGAGAGCAGTGCTTTTTTCCTATCTTGTTTAGTCTACCATAGTTTGACTCCAAAGTTTTTGCGCGCTAGATGTCAATTTTGAGTAAAACAAAAGTTAAGATTTCAAAGAGTGATATCAGGGAAGACCATTCCTGGGAGGAATGTGATGCCCAGGTAAGAGGTAACTTGCAAAGGTAACCTGAAAGAAATCATATTGGCTTCTTTTCCATAGGTGCAAACACACATGTCTTAGCCATCGTATGAGAAAAAGGAGGCTTCACTGTGGGTTACTCAAGGGGTAGAGCTCTCTCTTTATTTGACTGTAAGATTAAATATTAAAGTTATTCTTTGTTGTGGAAATTCTGATCACTCCTGGCATTCTTGGACATGTTTTTAAAATGGGTGTTTTCCTGTCATATTAATGTCTACTTGAGTATTCCTTAAAGCTTTCTTGAGAGTGTTAATGAATGTTCTTTTTAGAGCGTATTGGCACTGAAAATGGCTTACATACGTAATTGTTTTCTACAGTTATTGATGCAGGATCAATGTTGTACCCTTGAACTTTTCCTTTTTTATTCAGCCCCTCAGTCACTGCGACTCAGAGTCAGAGCTTCATGAGCTACATTTAGGGAGGGCTGACCAGGGAGATCTGGGCAAATT